TGCATCAAAAAATATAAAATGAAAAATTTTATAATTTCAATATTTTTTTAATTATAAATTATTTATAATCCAAATTGCTATTTTATAAAATGCATCAAAAAATATAAAATGAAAATCTATCTCAAATTATAGGATTCCAACTTGTAACATATATATATAATCTATCTGTAAAGTAAAAAATTCTTCAAACATTTTTCAAAAAAAAAAGAGTTAAGATGTATAAAGAATCTAAAATTTAGTAAAAATAATTTTAGAGTAATAAAATTTAAAAGAAAATTATATAAAAATTTCTATCAGGCCTCCCAAAATTTTGATTAATTTTTTTTTTTAAATTAACAAAAGTGACAAGCGGATTGAGTTTGCTAATTTTGAAAGGTTGGAAACTTTTTTGGTCAAAATAAATAATTAGGACAATATCTAATATTTATAATAAAAATTGAAGACTAAATTTGATATTTGTCCTATTAATAAAAATAAGGGTATGTATACCATTTAATTTATAACAAGCGGATTTCACGAAGCAATTCTGAGATTTTTCACCCCAATTATTCACTTTGAATGGTTTTTTTTTTTTTTTTTTTTTTGTAAAGTCCACTTTGAATGGTATCCAGGAACGAATCAACAACCAAAAGAGAAATAATCGGAGAAGAAGATTTCTACAGAACAAGTATTTAGTGTCTTAGTGGGTAAGATAATGGTTTTGGCAAAGGAGGAAGCACAAACTATAAAAGTAAAAATATTAAAATAAAGGACATTTTTCTGGAAATTTCAGCTGCTGCATAATTAAAAATTTTCTTTAAGGGTAATAACGAGCAGGGAGGTCACATTAGAAAGATAAAATTAAGCCAAAGCAGATAAAAAGCATTTTATATGCTTTTCATTATTTTTCCCATCAAACATTAGTTAGACATGGGCATTGCACACACACAATAACTTGAGCAGTACAAGATTAAATCCCCTGCTTTCCCTTATGATAAGCACAGGGCTCTCTCTATATCCAAGTTATTACAATGGGACTTCGTACCGCGTATTTCTCAGACACCCATGTTAAAGATCCAAAAGATGAGTCATCAGATTCAATGAGTCGTCTTTTTACAGTGAAACTCACCTTGTATTGTAGCTTCTGACCATGCATCTTAAAACTTAAAATGTTAGGCTTCACCCTAACTGATATTCCTATGGGTTCTTCCACTTGCACTTTATAAGTACCTACTGGAGGATTTCCAACATTTGTGACAGTTCTTCTGTAGGTAATGGTAACATCCTCACTATTGAAAGGCACTGCAAAGGAAGGGTAGTTTAGATCTCCAGGTTGCATGGTGGTCTTTTTGGGGCATGTGAAATTCCGATCAAATAAGGCTATTTGAGAAGGACTATAATTGAGGCTACACAAGTAATGTAAATACTCATGAGGGTGGATGTCATATAGCAATCCTGGATCAGAAGCTTTCTGTATATCAACATGGCCTGAACCAATTGCAAAAGGTGTTGCAGGGCCACCATTATAAACATCCTTAATTGGACTCCCTCTATTATCCAGATTATAAGCCGTTGTCATCATGGCTGATTTAACTGCTGCTGGCGACCATTCTTTGTGCCTGGATATAAGCAGTGCTGCTAGGCCACTAACATGAGGGCAAGCCATTGAAGTTCCTGACATTAGATTGAACATAACCCTTCTTTTGTCACCCTCCTCCTCAGATATGCTAGTTATACTTGGCCACGCTGCTAATATGTTCACCCCTGGTGCAGTCAAGTCTGGTTTAAGCAGGTCGAGACTAACTGGATTTGGCCCTCTTGATGAAAACGCAGCTATCATTGGTGCACGCTTTCCATAAGTAGTTCCTTTGAAAGTTAGTGAAGCCGTAGGTGATTTTGTAGAGTTCAAATAACTTAATATAGGCTTTCTTGCCTTGTATCCCATAGAAACTGCAGGAGAAATGTAAGGAAGAGCACCAAGTTCTACAGCCTTAACAGGAAAGATGACCGTGGCAGCTCCTCCTACCGACTTCACATGCTCTGCTTGTTGATATTGGTCAAATCCTCCTATTTGTTCACAAACAACCACCTTTCCTTTTACAAGCTTTGGGCTGAGT